GGGAATCGGAAATGAATCTGTCAAGGATCAGTTTGAAGATCCCACAGACATTAATGACCCGCATGAATATTAGTTTTAATGGATTTTGTCCCTGATAGAATTGCCATTAATGCTGAATTTCAACAGGATCAATATAAAGAATTCAGAAGTTGGTATTTCAAAAGTTTTGACCAAAATCAATTGCAACTTTTCAAAACCCAATTTTATGAATTTCTACAAGAACGCAAAATGGTTATACCTTTTGTTTCTTGGTTTTACATGACCAATCATTCTCTTGTTAATATTAACATATTGGATGATTTCCTCAAACCATGGACCACATCTGAAGATAAGGTTTTCCACTCTGTCCATCCTCCCCCTGACCATCTAATTCTCAAAAGAATTGACCCGGACAGTGGTTCTAAAGTGGAAACCAAGGCTTATAGCCAACCAAAAGTAATTGATCCAACTAGTACTGCTACTAGAAAGGACATTACTCATGTTTACAAGCAGAATAATTATACCAATGTTTGCTTACAAACTATAGGATCCCAGCTTGGGAGAATTGAAACAGGAATAGACACGGTATTAAATACAATTAATACTAAATGTATTTCTATAAAAACTTCTCCTCCAGAAGCTTCATTATCCAAAGCATTGGTAAAACCTGCAATTGAAGTTCAAGGCTTCAATCTGACACATCCTAAGAAGAATGAAGAATTTCTTACTCTTCTTACTCAGAAAATTCAAGGACTCAAGATTCAGACTTTATCCCATGATGAATCTGAAATTGGTTCTGATTCTGAGAATGTGTTACCTCATATTGAGGAAGTTCTAAAGGATCTTACTCAGTTACCTGAGTTCAACAGAATTGTCTATGATAAGAATATCCACTCAAATACAGCCCCTGCTCCGAGTCGATATTATTATCCCAGACCCACACCTCAAGATATCTTGTATGAAGAAGATTATTTCCATACCCAGAAATCTTTTCATGGCAAGACCATTTATGAATGGAACATAGATGGCAAATCTGATTATCAGATTTACGAGGTTATTCATCAAATCTTGATGTATAGCCAAGTCTGTAAAATCAACCACAATACTGACCCAACCATTGCTAAGTTTGTCGTTGCTGGTTTTACAGGAATCCTTAAAGGATGGTGGGATAATGTTCTCACTGACATTCAGAAAGCTGAAATCTTTGCGGCTACCAAGATTGTTAAAGATGAAGCTACTCAACAATCAGGCCCTGCTGCTGATGCGGTTTATACACTCATTACCACTATTATCCAACATTTTATTGGCCCTGAAGGAGCTAATAGTGAACGGAGTCGGGAACTTCTACAGAATCTAAGATGTCCATCTTTAACTCATTTCCGGTGGTATAAAGATGTATTCTTGGCAAAGGTTCTCCAGCTCAATGATGCAAATCATGAGCACTGGAAGGCCAAATTTGTAGATGGCTTACCAACCTTTTTTGCTGAAAGAATCCGGAAAAAGCTTAGAGACCTAAATAATGGTATCTCTATCCCTTACAGAAATTATACCTATGGTGGATTAGTTAACATTGTAATCCAGGAAGGTCTAGCTCTCTGTAATGATCTGAAGTTACAATCCCAGTTAAAATCCCAAAGATTAACTGGTCGAAAGGAAGTAGGTGAATTTTGTGATCAATTTGCCTATCAGACTCCCTTATCTTATCCTAAACCTAGGAAAAGAAATAAGGTTGAAAAACCTTATAAAAGGAAGTATTCCAAAAGAAAGAATTATTCAAAGGAAAAGGATAATTCTAGACAGTATACTAAGCCTAAAAGGAGATATACTCCGAAAGCAAAGGGCAAAGGAAAGCCCAAGGCTGAGGCTAAATGTTTCAAATGTGGGCGCATTGGCCACTATGCAAACAAGTGTAGAACTAAGGAGAAGATCAGTAGTCTTCACATAGAAGAGGAACTGAGACTTCAATTAAGTAAATTGTTACTTAATACTAGTTCTTCTGAACCAGAATCATCAAGTGATTATGGAGATGTTGTCATGGAATTACAATCTTCTTCTTCCTCTGAAGCAGAGATTGAAAACCCTAGATGTTCCTGTAATCATTCGCATGATGATTATTATAAGGCAATTGTTGAGATGAATGGGTTAAGCTTAAATGTTTTAACTTCCACTCAACAATCCTTATTGGATCTTATAGATCATATCCAGGATCCTCATATCAAGATGAAAGTCTTTGAAATAGGTTATGCTTTGGTACGATCTAATGAGGATACGGATAATCCAGATTTTCTGCGAGCAGAAAATCATTACAGTATGAAAGAAGTTCTAAGCAGACTAGAACACCAAGGACAAAATTCGCGTCCTGCTAATCTCCCTGACCTCAAAATGGAGATTAATCTTTTAAAAGAAGAAATTCGTCAATTAAAGTCTCGTCAGACTAAGATGGATTTGGAAATTACTCTTTTAAAAGAAAAATCTGCAATTCCATCTTCCTCATCCAAGGAGGAAGCTCCTCAATCAGAAGAAGGTAATAATTATCTTCAACTCTTGAATCAAGTTACTTACCAAAAATGGTATATTACTATCAATTTGGTAATTAATCAGGAGTACACACTCACTAATGCAATTGCTTTAGTTGATAGTGGTGCAGACATGAACTGCATCCAGGAAGGATTGGTTCCTACTCAATATTTTGAGAAAACCACTCAAGGTCTTACCAGTGCAAGTGGAGGTAAGATGCAGATTAAGTATAAACTTAATCATGTGTTCATTTGTAAAGAAGGTATTTGTATCCCATCTACTTTCTTACTCATCAGAAACTTGGCACAACAGGTTATTTTGGGCACCCCCTTTTTAGCCTTGATTATGCCAATTGAGAAAATTGATTCTCATGGAATATGCTCTACTTTACATGGTCAGTCAATAACTTTTCAGTTCTTGACCCCACCAATAAATAAGCATATCAATGCCCTTAAAGATATTATTATCTTTAAGGAAAAGCAACTGAATTATTTGCAACAGGAGGTATCCTCCTTAGCAATTAATCAAAGATTGGTACAACCCAAAGAGCAACAGAAAATTGAGTCACTACGGCAACACTTTTTAAAAGAAATCTGTAGTGAGATTCCTAATGCTTTTTGGGCCTGAAAGAAGCATATTGTTTCTTTACCCTATATCAAGGGGTTTACCGATAGCATGATTCCTTCAAAAGCTAGTCCCAGCCACATGAAGGCTGACTACTTGGAATTATGTAAGGCTGAAATCAGCTCTTTAATGGCTAAAAAGCTTGTCACTACTAGCTACTCCCCCTGGAGTTGCAGAGCTTTTTATGTCAATAAAAATGCTGAAAAAGAACGAGGAATTCCTCGATTGGTTATTGATTATCGACCACTTAATCTTACTTTAAGTTGGATCCGATACCCAATTCCCAACATCAAAGATCTTTTAGATAGATTACAATCTGCTGTGATCTTTTCTAAATTTGATCTTAAATCTGGATATTACCAGGTACAAATCACCAAAGAAGATAGGTACAAAACAGCTTTTTGTGTACCTTTCGGACAGTATGAATGGACAGTAATGCCATTTGGATTAAAAAATGCCCCTTCAGAATTTCAACATATTTTGAATGACATATTTAATCCTTTTACTGAATTTTCTATTGTTTATATTGATGATATTCTCATATTCTCAAAATCAATAGATCAGCATTACAAACACTTGAAAATTTTCAAAGATGTTATTTACCGAAGTGGTTTAGTTGTTTCTGCTCCTAAACTAAAACTGTTTTTAACAAAGGTCAGATTTCTTGGTCATGAAATTTGTGATGGGAAAATTAGACCTATTGATCGCAGTATTGAGTTTGCCTCTAAATTTCCAGATGAAATCAAGGATAAAACTCAACTTCAAAGATTTCTGGGTAGCTTGAATTATATTCGAAGTCACTACAAAAATCTTGCACAGGATACAGCAATTTTGTATACCAGGTTAAGGAAATCTCCTTCCCCATGGACATTGGATCACACCAAGGCAGTCCAGAAGATCAAACTCAGAGCCAAACAAATTCCTTGCTTAGCTCTAGCTAATTCTTCATGGTTCAAAATTGTGGAAACAGATGCCTCCAATATTGGATACGGTGGTATTCTCAAACAGAAAAATCCAAATACAGGAACAGAGGAGCTTGTTCACTTCACTTCAGGAACTTGGAAAAATGCACAATTAAATTATTCAACCATAAAAAAGGAAATTCTTTCTTTGGTTAAATGCATTTACAAATTCCAAGATGATTTAATCAATCAGAAATTCTTGTTACGCATTGATTGTAGTGCTGCTAAACAAGTACTGGAAAAAGATGTAAAAAATTTAGTTTCCAAACAGATATTTGCTGGTTGGCAAGCTGATTTATCTGCTTTTGATTTTTCTATTGAATATATTAAAGGCAGTTCTAATTCTTTACCGGATTTTCTAACTCGTGAATTTTTGCAGGGCTCATGAATCAGCCCCCCCATGGGCAGGGCCGGGGTAATACTCCAACACTAAATCGTTCAGTACACGATAAGAGGATCGGAATTGAAATCTGCGAAGACTTATGTTCGTAATATTTTTCATCTGCGAGTTCCTTTTTTTTTTTTTTTCTTGGGGGTTGATGGTTCATGTCAATATTGCTGTGTAGATTCAATGAGATTTGATTGGCCGGCACTCCAAATCGACTTTGGTCCATTGTGGATAGGAAGCTTCCATACACCTTCGCCTACTTTTTCCATAACCACCCTTTGGTCAAATCTTACCAGAAGCAATCTTACTATATCGATCAAATAAAGTACCAAATTCCACATTTGTCACGTAGTATAATAATAATAATAAGAATAATAATATCAAGACATACATGACAGATCATGGATGTCCAAAAATTAATGCCATTGACATTTTCAAACTAACACACAAAAAAAAATACAATGGATTACTTCAAACAAATATATATATATATATATTAATGCCCAAATGACTTTCATATTGTTTTCATTTCACTGTAGAAGCTTCTATGAAGAAAGCTTCAATCTTGAGATTCTTATATATCCAATGAATTGAGACAACATCTCTTCACCATCTCCACAACTCTCTCTCTCTCTCTCTCTCTCTCTCTCTCTCTCTCTCTCTCTATCTCTCTCTTTCTTTCTGTCTCTCTCTATCTCTCTCAGAGAAATTAAGATGGTTTCCTCTAATTTGATGGTTTCTCTGGCTATGGTCCTGGTTTTGTTACCTTTGACTGCTAGGGCTGACATACTCACTCCTTTCTATGGTACTCTTCTTCTCTCTCTCTATATATATGTATGTATGTATATAGATATTATATATATTGAATAATTGTGTATATGTATGTGATTTGCAGATAATATATGCAATGAAGTGGAATGCGGAGAAGGAAGTTGTGCGGCAGCACCAGGGTCCCCGTTCAACTTCGTTTGCAATTGTTATGATGGGTGGAAACGCACCCGTTTGGATAATGAAACTGATCTCCAGTTTCTCCCTTGTGTTTTTCCAAGCTGTAAGCTCTTCTTCCTATGCTAAACCTTTTTTTTTTCTTTCTATTCCCGTACTATTTTAGAAATTAGAATCAGAGAAAATTTAGATTAAAGTTCCACCGATTCTATATATCGAAGTTGCTTTGTTTTTCTTCTAAACATTTAACTTTCTGAAACCGAAAATAATAATAATAATAATCATAATAATAATAATAATTCCTAAACCAAGTCAGCTAGCTATAGCCTCAAACCTGGCCGGCTTGGAGCTTTCACATTCTCATGTCTCAAATATAGAACTAAAAGTCCACTCTCAAATTTTAGTCCAAAATTAATATTCAGATATTTTACTTCATTTTTGTTTTGTTTTGTTTTTTTTTTTTGTTTTTTTGTTTTCTCCTGATATTTTACTTCACTTACCCAATACAAAATCAATCCATCACAAAAATTGTTTACGTGTCGATTCTTATATTTTACTGTATATATAGACATGGATTCAGTTGCATATAACACTCCTCTTGTTTGTTTTCGTAGCATGAGGGCATTTATGTTATTTTACATTTGGAGAAGGGGTGTTACATGCACTATATTGAATATCTAAGAATTTATTTATTTATTACGCACTTTAGCTTATAAATTATTACTGTTACTAACATATATATATATATATATATATGGCTATCAATTTTCTCTTGTGCAGGTTCTGTAAACTATTCATGCATGCCAGCTGTTCCTCCGCTTCCATCCACTCCTTACAATTTATCCTTCTTTGATCGTAAGTCCCAGTAACTTTATCATACCAATTTTTAATTTTAGTATAAACCATGTTACATTTGTCGAGTAGACAATAGATTCAGACACATGGGTGTTCACTATATGTGTGTGTATATATATATATATATTATATATTATTTGTAATGTAATTGTTTTGATTTTGTAGCTTGCTACTGGATGTATTGTGGAGAGGGTACATGCACCAAGAATTTGACATACACACATACATGTCAATGCAACGCTGGTTATTATAATCTTAAAAATATCAGTGCCTTCCCATGCTACAGTGATTGTAAGTGTGTGTGTGTGTATATATATATATCAAAATTTAATTGTAAATGCAAATATATATATATATTGCCTACATGTATTAATTTTGTTTAATTAATTAGGTGCAATTGGAGCTGACTGCGGAAGGCTCGGGATTAAAGTTTCAAGCTCTACGTCTTCAACACCCTCTGGAGATAATGGGAAAGGTGAGTCTACTAGCCACACAAATGGAAAAAAAACATACGAAAAAAACGAAGAAATAATAAAATAAAATATTTAAAACCAAACAAAAATACACTAAGAAACAACAAGTTAGTGGACTGCGAATGTTTTGCGGGGTCCACAACGTTGCTGTCCATTGTGGACTTGGAGGCAATTTGGCACATCAACCATTTTCATTCAACAAAAATCAAAATTTTCACACAGAAATATATATATATATATATATATATATATATATATATATATATATAAAGGTTGAGAACTCTAAAACTTTTGTGAAAAAGGTTGCAATAGCAATACATAATTTATTTTCTGAAAATAAATTATGTATTGCTATTGCAACCTTTTTCACAAAAGTTTTAGAGTTCTCAACCTTTATATATAGAAAATAAATTATGTATTGCTATTGCAACCTTTTTCACAAAAGTTTTAGAGTTCTCAACCTTTATATATATAGAGAGAGAGTGCATTAATTTATTTTCTAAATAAAATAAATTATGTATTGTTATTGCAACCTTTTTTCACAAAAGTTTTAGAGGGTGAGAAAATAAATTAATGCACTTCCCTTTTAAATCAAATTCACTTATTATTTATTTTTACATGATAAAAGTGGTGGAGGGCATTTTGTTTAAAGTGGAGCTTCCTTTTTGACAGGTCAAACCCGTGACTCTTAAAAATCAAAGAATTCAATACCAAGACGCGTAGTGCAAAGTTTTGTTTGGTTTTCAAGAAAATATTAAAGAAAGAAGTATATGACTGGTTAAGCAAAACTTTCTTTTTCTGCCTTATCGTAGGTTAGGTGGTGAAGCCGTAAATCAACTCTTCTAGAAAATAAGACCTTCATACTTCATGTGTGTGTGTCTGTCTACAGTCTACATATACATATACATATGCATATATATATATATATATATATATATATATTGAATGTAGTCATTTTCTTGATTGGTTTTCAAAGTTGCTCGAATAAATACTTTTGATTGCTATTTAAAGTCAAAGCAAAAATTTCTACGCAAGTAACCCTAAAGACATGTTTCTATTATGATATGTAAAATAAAAGAAATAAAAACTTATTAGTCAAGCCAAGCATTTAACATGCCAACGTAAGCAACAAAGTTTAAACAAAAAAGTCAAAGGATAAGAAAGATATGAAAATTATCAGAGTTTAACAAAAAAGTCAAAAAAAATACGCGCCAAAAAATATGACAATATTTCCAAATTAATTAAAGTTTATTCCGTTTGATATTTGTCTTGCAGCGACGTCGTTTTCGCCAGGAAAGTTCCATTGGTTAGCTATGTTGGTGGTGTCTCTTGCTATGATTACGTGGAAGTGAGGATGTGAAGTATTTGGGTCACCCACACATTTGATTATTATATACACTTTGTTTTATTCATTTTGTGTCTTATAGTTTGTATAAATAAGTAAACAGTGATAGGGGCAGGGTGGACTATTGTATAGAGACACTGCGAAATACAATAAATACGATTTGTTTGTTATATTTATACGAGTATATATATATATATATATATTGTTATATACTTTTTCTATTCCATATTAGTGTTCTTTTTATTTTATTCTAAAAATATTTTCATCAATACAAATTTAAATATAAAGGGACAATTTAGTAATTTTAAAGAGGAAACATGCATTAATTGAATGAATAGAGTAGTTTATGGATAACATTAATCCAGATTAGGATTGCACAGTGGCACTACGTTGGATGGGACCCAAACCAATTTGAATTATAGGTGAGGATGTGTATCTTCTTACTGCTGATTTGGACCAGTAATTAGTGAATACGTTATCTTTAATTACTAAATCAGATATGGAGGAATATATATTTACTTACAAAATCAGAGATGATAGGGTACATATATTTGATTTGATAATGAAAGAAGATGTATCTATTTGTTATTAGTCCACATCATCAAGGAAGACAATGTACATCATCACTGGTGAAGACTAAGTATCATCCATATGAGCTCACCCACACTTTTGGTAGGACAATCAAAATTCCTATTGCGACAACAACTATGGTGCTGCTCGATAAAAATGAAAATTAAGAAAAGAAAAATTTTAGGAGTTGAATTTAAGTAATGAAGTTTTCATGTAGTAATTAAAAAAATAAATATATATTTTTTCATATCTTTTTGAATCTTATAGAGTTCAACATTCAATTATTTTGTCATTTAATATTTTACCATATTTTAAATGGCACCTACTATTTTTATTGACATAAATATTAGGTTATTAAACATACCTAATTGAATATCCACCTAATTAACGGTTGAATTGAATTATCAAACAACATCTCCCTTTTAAATGGCACTTTTATTTTTAGTGATATATTGATTTTGCAGAATTTATGTTGTTGATGTCATTTTTTAATCAACAATTTAGTTCCTATAAAAGTAATGAGTTTGGTAAAGTTATAAAGAGTTTTGAATAAACATACCAACTTACATAATTTCTAAGATTGCAAATCAAACAATCTGTAGTTGAATAAACATACCAACTTACATACTTTCCAAGATTGCAAATCAAACAAACAATCTGCAGATGTCTTAAGAAATCAAACTTTAGTGTTTTTTTTTTTATTTTTTATTTTTAAAGGTAAATTCAAATTTTATACAAAAATATAAACATAATAACCAGGCCAAGCTTAGCCCCAAGACTGGATCTCCTCAGTGAAGGTGGTCTGGTGGTTTCGCCAGCAGACGGATGACCGAAGAAGGTAATCACACCTTAGTGTTATAAAAAGGAATTTTAGGTATTTATTAGGCACTATTGAATTTGGATTATGGTATCAAAAGAATGCATCTTTCGACTTACTTAGTTATTCAGATGCTGACTTTGCCGATTGTGGTTTAGGTAGAAAAATTACCAATGCTACTTGTCATTTTTTAAGGCACTCCTTAGTTCCTTGGGCTTGCAAGAAACATTACTCTGTAGAATCCGATTGAGTATGTAGTAGTAGGTAACTGTTGTTCTCAAACTTTGTATATTAAGTAACAACTTGAAGACTTTATACTTAGTTTCGATCACATTTCCATTAGATGTGACAATAAAGTGCAATAAATATTGCCAAGAATTTGAGGACTAAACACATGGAAATTAGACATCATTTTGTTAGAGACCGTGTGTCTAAGGAGATATTCAGCTTGAGTCAGTGAAAATAGGAAATCAATTAGTTGATATATTTACTAAACCTCTCCAAGATCGAGGACGGATTATGTACAATTAGGTGAGAATTAATCTTGTGAAGTATTTCAATTTAACCAAGTGTGCTTAAGAACTCTTAATTCCTTGTGGATGATATGTATCCGTTTGAGCATGTAATTTAGTTATCAGTAGTGTTGTAACATTAATTAGGGTAAATAATAGGATTTTGATCCGAATCTAATTCTATAAGCTAGATATGGATTGATTTGTAATATAAAAATTTGATAATAATCCGAATCTGATAACCCGATAAGCTACCAAATGAATTAGGGATAATGCGATCCGATAATAATTCCGATTTATATCTTTCTCCTTTCCTCCTCCTTTCAAGCCCTTAAATCATTTCCTCTCTTCTATTACAAGCCTTGGATTCCTTTCTTCTTCTTTTCCCTTTAACATCAAAATTATCTTAATTTTTAATTTTTTTTTCCCCTTCTTCTTCCCCTCAGCCTTGTTTTCTTCCAATTTTTACGGTCTGTTTTTTATTTTTATTTTTTTATAACGAATTGTATGAAACCCAAATTTATTCAGAAAAAAAAACACCCAAATTTATAATTTCTTTGGCCTAATCTTTTATTTTTATTTTTATTTCGTTTTAGTAACACCCAAATTTGTAATAGGATCGGATTATTAGATGGGATGTCCGGTAACATAGAAAATCAGATATGGATTTAATAAGGAGTGATCCATCAAATTATTGATAGATTATAGAACTTCCATATCTTATTTGGATCAGATCAAGCCTGATTCGTTCCAAATCTGATTTGTTTACACGTTTATATATATATATACTAGAAAAAGGCACATGTAATTAGGGGTAGCAATTCGTGTTCATGGGTCGTGTTCGTGTCGTGTCGATGTAAGGGTATTATATTAAATAAGTAAACCCAAATCCAACCCATTTAATAATAATATCAAGAATCCTCAATACTAACCCAACCGTTTAATAACCTGTTTATCAAAATGAGACATTTAATAATTTGTCATAATTAACCCAAATATTCAAAATAAAAAGAAAAATCATAAAAGTTTATATTTAAATGACTTAACTATGGGTTTAAACAGGTAACATGTTACATAGGTCATATTCACGATTACATGTTGAGTTAAATGGGTTATAAACAGGTTACACGGGTTAAACCCCTCAACCCTAACCCGACACGGTTAAGTAAACGGATTAATCATGTCGACCCTTTTATGACCTAAACCCGTTTATATCAAATCCAAATATTTTTAACTCGTGTCGTGTTGTCGTGTCATGTCTTAATTTGCCACCCCTATATGCAATGCATGTAAATAAAATAGATAAGCATTATGAGATATTTTTTTTGTTAATAATTATGATATATAACATTCAAAATTTAGTAAAAAAAATGAAATTATCTTTATCTCTTCAAATGAAAAAAAATGTAAAAATAAAATAAAAAATTGCCTTCAAAAAAAAAAAATATTATTATTATTATTATTATTATATAAAAAATTCTTAAAATATGATCTAAAAGAATTAACTTTATGAAATTACAAAAACATTAAAATCTAGTAAAAGGACAATTATTTGGATTATAAGATCAAACTCAATGTATTTACCAAAAAAAAAAGAGATCAAACTCAATGTTACTCCACTTGGTTGTTTATATATATATATATATATATATATATATATATAATATTGAAATTTTGAAGAGATATAAAAATGCTATACACATTTAAAACAACACAATTCATTTATTAATTTGCAACAGAGGAGAATTGCGAGAAAGAAGGATATCTTGAAGTGGAGATGTTATTCCCACCAGTGAGAGGAGATGCTACTCCCACCAGTGAGAATTTGCAAGTTGAGATCAAGTTCCTTGAATGCAAGAGTACAACAGCCTTTATAAAAAAATAAAAAAAATAAAAAAAAACAAATGAAATAAAAAACATCTGATTTGATGATCATCTAAATATAATTTATAAAAAAGTATTTATATATTGATCAAATAATTATCACAGTAATAAGCAATTCTTTTAAAAATATAATTTATAAGTAGGTCAAATTTATAAAATTATAAAGTTAAGTATACAATTGTTTGTGTGCATATAAGGTGTACATGTGATTGTCACACACAAATACAAGTAACATAAGAGTAGAATAAAAAATAAAAACAAGAACAAAATATTAACAAAATGTTTGAATTGCAAAACTCTAATTAATCCATTTGGAAAGTCAAAGATCTCATGTAACACTACTCTCCAAACTAAACTCAAGATTAAATTTTTACAAAAAATATTGAAAAGGAGAGGGAAAAAAAATTAAAAGAAGCTAAGTGAAATGTATTGTAACGGTGTAAGAATGAAAAAATAAAGAAATAAAAAATCTTTTATATATATATATATATATATATATATATATATATATATATATATATTGCAACAATTTTGAAGGTAATCATGGTTTTATTTTTCATATATCCCTCCTATACTACCTATGTCCCAAAATAAATGGGCACTTGAGGAGCAGTAGCTCACAAAAAATAACATCTATTTTGAAAAATATTTTTAAAAGGCATAAGCTCCTTTATATAAAAAGAGATGTGATGATTCATAACCGATAATTTATTAATTATTAATACCAATTAAAAAGAGATTTGAGAAGACATAGCTCTTAAATAATAGTAAGTATTAAACTATTAAGAACTAACAACAACAGTTATATTTAAAAATACTAATTAGCAAGAGATTTTTAAAAGTCATAATTCTTCGGCATTAAGATATTTTAAAAACACACAAATCTTAAAAGGCAGATTTTTAAAAGTCAAAACTCTTTGGCATTAAGATATTTTGAAAACATACAGATCTTAAATGGCAGCTAGTACCCAATTATTGGTGACTTTTAGAACATGAAAAGTCAGGTAAATAATTTTTTATATTAAAATAATTACTTTAAACTGTGAATATAACATGTTAATTCAAAATGAATGATTAGTTGTTAATAATTAAAAAGAGATCTAAAAAGACATAACTGTTAACATATATTGCGTATCCTCAAACATCACAAACTCACAATGTAAAATTCTAATAACATGAAAGAAACGGATTTCATCATTAATGGCATTGGAGGAGAAATGGAATAAAGAATAAATATAAATATTCTACATATATATTGACATAAAACATACCTTCTAGAAAATAGGGCTTTCAGTTGTAATTGATGCACATGAACCAAATAGAATCTCCAGTTTTAAAATTGTCCTTGGAACATGAGAAAAAACCTTTGATAATTTTTGCAGATGAT